TCACAACATGCAAGAGAGCAGGCAATACAAAGGGGGAACACGTCCCTTGCTGAAAGGGCTCAGAGGAGGATGTCCTCACGCATCAGGGCTAACAGGGAGGCATCCCTAGTCCCTAGCACTACAGAAACGAGCCAGGAATCCCACATTCCTTCAGGAAACACGGGAATGAACTCACAGGGGTTAGATAACTCCAGTGAGGCCTGGTCAACCAGGTTTAACGACCAACAGGGCCCGAACAGGAGACGGGCTGGAAAGCCGAGCTGAAGTCACTGGTCATTCACAGGGCACTTCACCTAGAGCAAGCGGCCATGGGAATAACAATACAAACTCTCCAGGTCTGAGAAGGTCACTCAGGGCAAGAGGCCCTCCCAAATACCTAGCCGATTACGTAAGGTGAACAGGTACATAGCAAGAGCTGACTGAATGTACTGGCGGGTTGTATTTAAATAAAACAAGGTCGGGGGGGTCACTGGATCTGGTTCAAAGGAACAGTCCCACACCTTATACATTGTGTAACTTTATTTCATTATTAATTATATTACCATCTATAGGATGGCGTCCATGTGGGCACAATCTTATTTCATCCAGGGGGAAGGGGTGTTGTGTCCTGAGCCTGCAAGAGGCAGGCTCGGGACGTTGTAAGAGTCCCGGGCATTTGCAGAAGCTGCCGGGGACCAGACTGAGCGGCGCCAGCCTTGTGCGCATGCGCAAGGCGGGAAAAGCCCGCCTCATGATTGGTTGAACTTGCCCGGGGATCAGAGGGTATAAATAGAGGCCTGCGTTGTTCGTAGAGTGGAGCAAACAATAAAGACTTGTTGGAGATGATTCGTCTCAAGCGCCATTATTCCCAGGACTTAACAGTTCCCTACTCTAACCCTATATCTACCTTGTGTTTCTTTCTTTGTTGTGTCTTTCTGTCTTTTTTCAGGACTGACATCCTTGTCAAGGGGGGCAGGCATGTCAGATCCACCAGCCGGCGTTCTGCCATCAATCAGGGAGGAGACGGGGGACAAATGGGCAATAAAGCTGTATACCTTTATGATGGGAAATTGGGGGGGGGGGAATTGGCAGCTGAGGAAGAACAGAGCGCTTTGAAATCTGGTTCGTGTTGATGCACTGGAACCTTTGAGGCCATTTACCCTGAGAGTGGAATTTTATCAGCCCAAACACCTCAGCATTTTACAAAACATCTTGGTAGTATCAGATTGGCTATGCTTGGATAGGGGGAGGACTAAGGGGAACCAAGGGTTTAGTTCTGTAATGGCTCATGGGAATTTTAGATTCCACTTGACTTTACTGCATCCAGCATCTCATAGTAAAAGTACTGTTTCACTTCAACCAAATGGAGTCAAGAGTTTTACTTCCCTAGGAGATCAGACTGGGGCAGGTTTGAAATTATTGTATATTTTCTGCAATTCTTTTTTTCCTAAAAGGGCTTCCAAACTTTGTCGAAACCTTTATAACTTAGCAGTCCTAACACTAGCATAAAACCATACACTGCACACTCTTGATGAATAGTTAACAGGTCTATAATTTGACACCAACACTTATGTTCACTTGCATCTAATATGACAAGTTAGCAATGCACTGTACTCTTTTTGGAACACTTACTATCAGTCCTTTAGTCATTAAAAATACTACATACTGGTACTATAAATACCCTAACATTTCAGTTCAGAATAATCACACGCGAGGGACTTCCGGTGGCAGGCGACTTCGTCGGTCGCAGCTGTTTGCTGCCTCCCACCTGTTTCGTGTAAAAGCCGGTTTGACAGCCAGCACCAGCTGTCAAACGGCTTGATACCTTTCCCCTGGGCATAAGGGGATAGGTGAGCTGCCCGGGGTAGGAGTTGAGTTCCCGAGTCGTCCTATATGGACGATGTAGGTGAGAACTCCTCCGGAGCCCCGAGGATTCTCCGCGATCCAGGACGCCTTCGCTTCGGCGAAGCTAGAAG